TACTCCCATGATGAAGCCTCTCCTCGGCTCGCCCTTGCCTCCTCTGCCTTCCTCACGTCACATTCAGATGATTCGGGTCCATGACTGTAAACCCTGATGGTCAGAAGCAATAGTTTTTTTCTTCACACAGGAGTCACGAGTGCTTCTAGCTCCATCATGATTTCCAAACATTGAAAACATCTACAAGGAAGTAGAGGTTAGACCTAATTAAAGTAATCTGGTTCATATGAGTTGGCATCAAGGTAATGATAAAGTAATCCAATTAATTAACAGTAAAATGTAATTAAGGGGAAGGGATTTTGCAGTAGTTGTTCCACAGTTCAGCTTAGCTGAGATGATATATTAGACTAGACTTCTGCTTCTGGTACCAGTGTGTGAAGCTGAAATAAACTCAGCATTCTCTATTTTCAGTGGTGGCTCATACTTCACATGTTATCTTGTCTAATACTTGTCAATGTCTTTGATGTGTCATCCCAAATAAACAAGAACCATTATGACGAAAGGAGGGTGGGGACCCCAGAACACTCTAAAGAACAATGGCCCATGTAAACAATATTTAATGTGCCTGACTGATACCTAATTATTCTGATATTGAATTACCAGTAAAATCTGAAAGGTTTAAAATATCTGATATTGATAAGAAAGTCATTATCACTGAGCATTTACTTACTACTCACACCAATTTCAGTTAATTACATGACAGTGAGATTGATTGCTTATGAAATCTTCAGTCCTCTTCTCACAATTAATTGATATCTAATCAACATAGGTCATCTTGTTAAATTCCCAGTAGGGCATTTGCAGGAAGATGGGAATGGAGGCCTTCCTTCCAGCAGTGTTGCTTTCTTGTACCTGCAGTACTTTTGGGAGGTACCTATCCTGAGACCGGAGGCAAATGAGGAATTTCAGTGGTTCTCACACCGGACTGCCTACTAGGTAATCACCTGGGAGCTTTTAAAAATGCGTATGCCCAGCTCACATACCCCTCCCTCAAACAATTACATCAGATGATCTGGGAGTGGAACCTGGGGCTCGGTATTATTTTAAACTCCTAGAATGATTGCAATGTGTATCCAGATTGACAGCCAGGTTGAGCTAGACTTGAGAGATGAGTTGGACACCAGCCTCCTGCAGTAACTGGCTTGTGGATGGAGGGTGTGCAAGTCCCCTTTCCTGTCCCATACGGGCTGGTGGTCAGCCATGAGCCATGGCCCATGTTCCTAGCAATGGAGCTCTGCTCAGCCCTGCCCCACCCCACTGTCTCCATACAGCGTCTGGTGGCTGTCATTCAGTGTTCACCCTTGAAGGAAGACTCCTCCGCTCCTGGCCAGCCACACCTGTCTGAACTTGGTTTGGGGTCCTTCTCTCTTCATCTTCCCCTCAGCCCCTCTTTCCATGCCATCTTCCTTATTCTGTTTCTTTCCTTCTTCCTTTCCTCCCTCCCTCCCTCCTTCCCTCCCTCCCTCCTCTCTCTCTCTTCTTCCTTCCTTCCTTTTCTTTCTTTCTTTCTTTTTTTTCTTTCTTTTTCTTTTTCTTTTTTTCTCTTTCTTTCTTTCTTTCTTTCTTTCTTTCTTTCTTTCTTTCTTTCTTTCCTCTCTCTCTCTGTCTCTCTCTCTCTCTCTTTCTTTCTTTCTTTCTCTTTCTTTTTTGAGACAGAGTTTTGTTCTTGTTGCCCAGTGTTGTCCAGGCTGGAGGGCAATGGCGTGATCTTGGCTCACCACAATCTCCACCTTTCAGGTTCAAGCAATTCTCCTGCCTCAGCCTCTCGAGTAGCTGGGATTACAGGCACCCGCCACCACACCCAGCTAATTTTTTTGTATTTTTAATAGAGACAGGGTTTCTCCATGTTGGTCAGGCTGATCTTGAATTCCCGACCTCAGGTGATCTACCCACCTTGGCCTCCCAAAGTACTGGGATCACAGGCATGAGCCACCTCGCCAGCCCTTATTCTCTTTCTTGACTGCGAGCCTGTGACTTGTTCCTTCACCCAGCCTTATAGTGCCTGAGGGTTTCCCCTTCTGGCCAGCCCCATAGCGTGGGGCTGGTTATGCTGGCTGGGGAAGTGACTCAGCTCCATAGCCAGAGAGACTGTGACTTCTTGGTCATTGCTGAATATACAGTGCCTAGGAGAATGGGCATATTCATATTTGTTGAATGAGCAAAGCTTTTGAGAATTGAACCAGAGTCTACAAAGGGCCCAGGTGCTGAGGACAGTGGGTGTGCAGCCACCTGTCACGTGGACTTGAAAGGAGAAAGGAGCTGCACTGCTTTTTGGGGAAACTGCCAGGAGTTTATTTTGCTGGAAACAGATGTTGGAAATAGACGCTCAGTGCCACAAAGAAAAATTAGCACTGAGACAAAGGACCTTTCAGCAATGCAATTTTTACTTCCTGGACAGTAGGAAGGGTATACCCTCACTAGCCATCGTACCATGAGAGTACAATAAACAAAGGAAAACACACAAATTTATCCCTTATGCATTTGGGGTTGTCCTTACTGCTGTGTCTGATCTCCGTTGGCTGGAGCCAGACCTCAGGATCTAAACTAAAACCCGATGGGCTAACAACTTAAAACATTTCTAAACAGATAAAAGCAGTGGAGAGCTGGGGAATGCCTGTGAGCATATCCAGCACAGATATCTTGGTTAAAGTACAAGGACATAGAATGTACTATGTGCCTGTAAGCATGGCATCTCTAACAGCTACATAGAATAGGGCTTAGCAAAGAGTTATTGGCACACTTATTTTTTTAACAAGAAAGGAAACTTTAAAAAGGAACTTTTCTACTTCCCACATTAATAAAGCAAAATTATTCTCAAGAAGCGACATGGATTGAGAGATACAGTGAGAGGTGGGGGGGGCACATGAGTGCCTTGTGCCTGGGGGGGTGCGGGAGTGGGTGTAAGGGGGGATGAGGAGGGAATGTGGTATGTGTGGGGGGGTGCATGCTGGTGAGGACTTGTGTACATTGTGCATGTGTGTGCGAGCACGCCCACAGTGTAGTCACAGCGAGCATCGTGGGTATTAGAGAGAACACACTGTGTGACCCATTTCTAGAAAATTCTAGACAATGTAAACCAATCTACAGTGACAGACAGCAGAAGAGTGTATATTTAGGGATGGGACAGAAGCGAAAGATTCCCAAGGACCCAAGAAAACTTTTGGGGGTGACAGATGTGTTCATTATCTTGATGGTGGTGATGATTCTATGAGAATGCACAGGCATCAGAACTCATCAAACTATGCACCTCTAATGTGTGAAGTTGCGGATATGTCCACTATATTTCAATAAAATTAAAAAGAAGAGGAAAATGTGGTTTTTAAAAAAGAGAGCAAAGCTTCTGAAATCTGTTCTTAACTTGGCTTCCCTACTTCCTACCTGGGACCTCTTTGGGTAAGTTAGTCAAGATCTTGGTGCCTCAGTTTCTTCATCTGCAAAATGGGAATAATAACTTGCTTATCGCGGAGAGTTGTGTAAATGAGGAAGATAGTAACTGAGACGAAAGTATGCAAAGTCCTCATCACAGTACCTGGCACATTTTCACTGCCCAGTGATTGGCACTGGCTACTACTATTGTTCCTGGACATGCCTGGGCATTTCTGTGTCTGTATCCATGCCAGTTTATGTATATGGGAGTGCGGGGCATGAATTCGTGTGCATGCCTCTGTCTGTGAGGAGGGGGGTGGGGATTCGTTCTGGGTGTGGGCAGTGATTTCAGGCATAGAATCTTTCCTTCTCCATTCCACCACAACCTCCTCCTCCTTCTCCTCCACCAGACCACATGGGTCTTTTTTTTTTTTTTTTTTTTAACAGTTACTAAACGGCTACATTTACTGACTCATTCAGTCTTTTATCATATCCAATAACACAGTGAGTTTTGGAAATCACATCGCCTCGGTTCTTTCATGGCTTCTGCAAATCAAATTTATTTTACCATTGAAAATGTCAAAAGGATTCAGCCAAAGGAAATCTGGAGCTTTCTGGGGTGCAAGACCCTGAAGCTGGCTCTCAGGCTGCAGTGAAGGAGGCTGAAGTGCCTCTTTTCCATGTGGATCTAATTTGTGTGAATTTCCTTAAAGCTGGGAGGGAGTCGGAGCTCCTGCTGGGAAAATAGAGCCTTCAGACCTCTCCGGAGCAGACTCCAGTGGGAGGAGAGAATTAGTGGGGGCTGGAAGGTCAACATGGTATCAACCGCTTGCCCTGCCCTGAGCTGCTGGGAGCAGGGTAAGAGGAGCCTTGGAGTCCTGGCCCTCGGGGAGATCACTGATGAGTGGGACAGAGACCCAGGCCGGCCCGGAGCTCACGGAACAGCTTTCCAGGTCAGATCTGCACACACTGAGCAATGATTCAAAAACAGTGTCCACAGGGTGGACTTTTAGACCTGACTGCTCTGGGGTTGAGTCCCAGCTCTGCCGCTCCCTAGCTGGGCAACCTTGGTTAGGTGGATTTACTTCTTTGAGAGTTTCATGTAAAATGGAGATCAGGGAATCTCAGTGCATGGCCCCCACTTCCAGGTTTTCCATATTCTTTGCTGAGTCTGAATTGGTATCTAGACCCAGCCAGGGGATTTGGGTATCTTTTTTGTTGTTTATTATTGACACATAATAATTGTACACGTCTGTGGGCTACAGTCTGATGTTTCTTTTCTTTTCCTTTTCCTTTTTTTTTTTTTTTTTTTTTGAAGTGGAGTCTCGAACTGTTGCCCAGGCTGGAGTGCAATGGCACGATTTTGGCTCACTGCAACCTCCACCTCCTGGGTTCAAGCAATTCTCTTGCCTCAGCCTCCTGAGTAGCTGGGATTACAGGCACACACCACCATGCCTGGCTGATTTTTTTGTATTTTTAGTAGAGACGGGGTTTCACTATGTTGGTCAGATTGTTCTTGAACTCCTGACCTTGTGATCCACCCGCCTTGGCCTCCCAAAGTGCTGGGATTACACAGCACCCAGCCCAGTGTTTCAATATATACATTGTATAATGACCAAAGCATGGTAGCTAAAAAAATTATGGAATGCTTTACAAATTTTTGTGTTATTCCTGAGCAGGGACCATGCTAATCTTCTCAGTATTATTTCAATTTTAGTATATGTGCTGCTGAAGGAAGTGCTTTATGAAAGTGTCTTTATAAAAAAGATCATAAGTGTGCAAGGCCACATGTCTCAGGTGTCAGGGGTGTTGATTTTCCTGATTTCAGAGAAGAGAGAGATCTGTTATACGGAGGCTAAAGCTCGAAATACCTTTATTGAGCACCTACTGTGTGCTGGGGTCTATCCTGTCCCTGGGGATGTAAACCATTGATGAATTGAGCCCCTGACTTCCAGAAATCACCCCTGATTGGAACATGAGTGTGGTGAAACTTCTAGAACTCCAGGATCTGTGTTAGAAAGTGGGATAGAGCGTCAGCCAGAAACACCTGGTTTCTGACAGAAGGGATCCTCCAGGAGGGCTTTCTGACCTGGGCCCTGGCGAATGAAAGACAGGTGCCTCTAGTGGTAAGCAATGGAGGCAGGGGTGTAATGAATGAAAGACAGGTGCCTCTAGTGGTAAGCAATGGAGGCAGGGACACCAATCGTAAGGTGGTAGGTTGGGAACAGGAGAGATGGGGCTGAGATGTCAATCAGAGCTGGCTCACAATGGTCCTGGTGTCAAAGGAAGATGCGGGCTTTATCCTTGAAGGATGCTTCTGTTTTAAGCAGGGTGTGTCTGGGGTCCCCAGGACCACCTCCTTGTGCAGTGATTATTCCGGAGCACTCGTGGGACTCAGCATGTAGTCACACTCATGGCTACGATTCATCGGAGTAGAAGGATACAGAGTAAGGCCTGCAAAGGAAAAAGGCTCCTCCTGGGTGAAGTCTGGGGAAGACCAGGCACAAGCTTCCAAGGGTCCTCTCTCAGTGAAGTCACATAGGTTGTGCTCAGTTGCCTCAGCCACAGGTTGGGACAACAGTGTGAAATGTTGTCTCTCAGAGAAGCTCACTAGAGACTCAGTGCCCAGAGATTTTATTTGGAGGATGGTCACAAAGACACCCTTGGTCTAATGCTCACTAAATTTCCAGACTCCCAAAATGAAAGCAGGTGTTTAGCTTAAACCACCTTGTTTCCACAAACATTTTAGGCGGAGTTAGCTGCTCACATCAGTTAGTATGGGAACCCTTCCGTCATCTACATTCCCAGATGCCAGCCAAGGGCTAGCTTGCAACAGGGCTTTTTAAGAATGGCAGTGCCTCATGCCTGTAATCCTAGCACTTTGGGAGGCCGAGGCGGGAGGATTGCCTGAGCTGAGGAGTTCGAGACCAGCCTGGGTAACATGGTGAAACCCTGCCTCTACTAAAAATACAAAGAGAGCCACGTGTGGTGGTACATGCCTGTAGTCCGAGCTACTTGGGAGGCTGAGTCAGGAGAATCGCTTGAACCTGGGAGGCGGGGGTTACAGTGAGCTGGATTGCACCGCTGCACGCCAGCCAAGGGGATAGAGTGAGATTCTGCCTCAAAAAAGAAAAACAAAACAAAACAAAACAAAACAAAACAAAAAACAAACAATAAAACAATGGCAGCACCAACTCTGTTCTGCATACCGGGGCAGGCGCTAACACGATGTGCTTGTCTCGAAACCCATGTGAACAACGGATTGGCGTTGGAGCCAGGACAAACTGGAGGCAGGGAGGCCAGTGGGGAAGCCTAGCAGGAGTCTTTTAGAAAGAAAATGAGGCCTGACCTAGGGTGGCTGTCTTTATCAGGCTTTTGGTTGCGAGTCTCCATGTCAGAGTGGCTCAGGAAGACAAAGGATTATTTAGTACATGGACTCAGGTATGTTGCAGAACTAACTCAAAGGCAAAAATCCCACGAACCACTCAGGAGACCAGATTTGGCTTCTACACGGCTGTCAGAAGGATGGGCTTCTCTTGGTTTTCTTTCCCTCAGACCACGAGGTTTCCCTTTCTGGTTTCCTCTGGGCATCCTCTGCAGTCCCCTTTCTCTAGAGACTGACTTTCTTTGTTTTTGACATAATGGCTGTCAGACAGAAAAGCCTCATCCCTGTCGTATTTACGTGTTCTCTCTTCCTGTGAGCATCTGGGACTCACACCACCATCTCTCAACTGCAACTACAGTTTCCTGTGAGAATCTGATTGGTGTGCATCGGGTTAGGCGTCCTCTTGTTCCAAATTAGCTAAGGCTAGGGACTGAGAATCGCATAGTATTAGCATGGCTGTCCCACGAGCTGGGACAGGAGCTGAGAAAGAAAATGTTCTTATGGTCCCTGGATACCAGGCGGTGATCAATCATTTGAGTTAATCTGACGCATCTGAGTTCAGTTAGGGAGATAAAGAAGCTCAAAAATTGGGAGGCTGTGAATTTGACATCATATTAGTAGGTAAATTTTAGAAAAACTTTCTTCTGCAAGGATCATAAAATCAATGGTAGTTATAACTTTGACAGTAGGTTCTGCTCTCCATTGGAACACATTCTGCTCCTTCTGTTCTGATTTCTGAGAATGAAGTGAGAGGTCAGGAATACACGAGCTGTTTCCCTCCCCAGTAATGGGGATTTTACTGGGGACAGTGAGGCAAAGAAGTCGGGTGGCTTTTGCAAGTTCACGGAGCATGTCCTTAGATTCACATTGAATCTCTCATTTGTCTTTTCCACAAACATTTAGAGTCCCTAATGGAAGAGCGCTGATCTTTGGGCCAGGTGCAGAGATGAGCAAATGTACTCTCTGCTTTGGAGAGTTTAATCTCGTTAAAGACACAAGTGTGAACATTTGAGGTGACGAATATCCCATTATCCTGCTTTGATCATTATACATTGTGTGCAGGTATCAAAACATCACATCTGCCCCCAAAATAGGCACAATTATGTGCAAATAAAAAATTATATGAAAAAGACACAGGTGTGTAAATGGTACACGATTAACGACATAACAGAGGAGAATCAGGGATTTTGAGTTGCAAGCAACATAAATGAACTTTGGGTAACTTAAGCAAGAAAAGGAGGAATTCACTGGAAGTATATGGGGTGACTAATAGAATTAAAGATACATTGCAGCACCCGTCTTTGGAAAGCTCAGGAAAGTGAGTAGTCCAAAGATCCGGTGAGCAGGAGAGAATGGACAGTTTCTTCAGGGCTCCCAGCATCAGGAGAAAAGTCACCCCAGTCATTTTCCATCTTGGATCACTTGCTGGCAATTTAAGGCCCTACAAGACAATCTGATGGGTCTAAGGTGAACCATCACCGAGCTTTTTCAGGGCCTCTTGGCTGATGGCACCACCAAGGCTGTATCCATAGGAAAGGGAATAGCTCCCTGCAGAAATCTGCATCCTGTAACTAGAACAAGGTAAAGAGAGATGGGACTGGCCAAGACTCATTGTTGTCTCCAGTATCGGCGATCTTCCACACTAGTTAATTTTTTTTTTTTTTTTTTTGAGGTGAAGTTTTGCTCTTGTCACCCAGACTGGAGTGCAGTGGTGCAATCTTGGCTCACTGCAACTCCCACCTCCTGGGTTCAAGTGATTTTCCTACCTTAGTCTCCCACATAGCTGGGATTAGAGTTGTCTGACACCATGCCTGGCTAATTTTTGTATTTTTAGTGGAGATAGGGTTTCACTATGTTGGCCAGGCTGGTTTTAAACTCCTGACCTCAGGTGATCCACCCACCTCAGCCTCCCAAAGTGCTGGGATTACAGGTGTGAGCCACTACAGCACCCAGCCACTAGCTGAATTTTCTAAGTGGGCCTATGACCACCTAAAGGTTACATTTCCCTGCATTCCGTGCAAGTAGACATGTCTGTGCAACTGAGTCCTCGCCAACATAATTGAAGTAGGGTATCATGTGGCAGTTTCCAAAAACTTTTCTTAAAAGAGAGCAGAATCCTTTGCCACCTCTTCGATTCCTACCACTCCATCCTGTGGCACTGGATATGCTCTGATGACTGAAGTTCCAGCCATCATCTTGTGCTGAAAGCCTGAGAACCACACCCCAGGGAGAATTGGAGAAAAAGCCAGAGTACCCTGGATTCCAGAAGATTGTATAGTTGCTTCTCAATCCTGGGCTTTTGTGTGGAAGGATAACTTCACTTCTATTCTGTTTAAGCCATGATTGTTTCAGGGACTCTGTTACTTGCAGCTGAACCAAATCCTAAGAGATCCAGCAGGCACAACTATAGATGCCTGCAACAGGAGGTATTACAATGTGCTGCTGGAACCCAGAAGAGAATGTGACAAAATCTACCCGGAAAAGGTCAGGGAAGGCTTCATAGAGGAGGTGGCATTTGAGCAAGGTCTGTGAAGGAATTGAGCATTCCAGGCTGAGAGGGAAGGATGGCAGGTCCTGCTGATCCTCCCCCACTCCCTTGAGACCTGGTGCATGAATCTGGGAGTCGCTCCCTTCTGGTTCTGTGTTGTGTTCTCATGATCTCCATGACTACAAAAGCCACACTACGGGGTCCTATAGAAATCAAGCAATTTACTGAAAATAGAGGGATAATTTACCGAAAATAGAGTTTGGGCTCAGTGATACCTCAGTTCTTCTGGGAAAAAGCCAATTTCCGATTGCATCTTCACAAATCTGATAGAGTAGATGTCCCAGTGGGATTGAGCGTGTACCTGTGTTTGTGTATACACTCCTGTGTGTGTGTGTGTAATCATGGAGCACTCTGAAAGTGTACTTTCAGCCTGACCTTATCTTTATTTGCCAAAACCCAGATCAATATTTTTGTTACCACTTAATTTCTTTTAGGTGAGAAGAAATTATATTCAATAGCTCTTTGGCAGTTTCTGGCAGTAAGAGGCTGTACCAGGGCTAGTCCCCATGGCTAGCAGCTTCATTCCCTTGCCTTGGGACCCATGTAGCTGCTCAGAGAAGAGTCACAATGTATGTGAAGAAGTTGGGTGAGGCTGTGGGCATGGGGCTGGCGAGACCAGTCCATCTGCACTGGGAGGGAGTCATCTGGTCTCAAATCAGTTCTGTCCTTGTCCACTCCTTATGAATCCTTGGCTTGGTCTCCATCAGCCTCCTCCATGACTGTGAGTAGGCAGGACCCAGTCTGAGAACCTTATAGTAACCACATTCCATGCCCTGGGCATACAAACCAAGCCACTAGCAGATTCCTC